GGATAGAAACACGTACATTTCGGTTGATATTTCCTGAGATAACGTAACTGCGGAGACCTATGGTACTCAAACGTGTTCTGCATGCGTATGGGAGGCAGTGACCATCGATTTTGGTTTCAAAATGACTGCACTAGATACAAAAACACTGATTTATGCAATGGCACAATTTCGGAGCGCGCCACATGAATAGAAACACTCAAAGATTTGCGAAAAAAACTCATTGCTTTGCGGTAAAATGGTTGTATTAGTATTCCGTTTTACCTCCTTTAACCTCAAGAACAGCTAGGCAACGCCGCGGCATCGATTGAATGAGCTTTTCCAGGGTGGGTTTACCAATTCCACTCCAAGCAGCCTTGATGGCCACGGTAAGCTCTTCGACGTTCATATATTGGCGTCCATTGGCATAAACATGCCTGGCTAGGATACCCCAAAGGTTCTCAATGTAAATAAGTAAATATAAAATATTGGTCAGCTCTGGTCCCATCGGCAGTACTGTATGAAGACGACCTCGTCACATGGATACTAGCAATGGAGCGCGACGGCCAACCTGTGAACCGCAGCCAGATCCTAGACAAGGCAGTCGCAATGCCACCGCGTCATCGTCTAACCGATTGCTGCGCCGCCAAAGGCTTGGCATAGTTCGTCGAGCATCGAATACGTGAAGTACAACCTGTTAATCGAAAATACGACATACTTTAAACCAGTTTAAAATTCGGCTAACCACTGATCGCGTATTTGAGCGACAAACTTTGTCATTTTTATTGCCCGGGTTAAAACTCTTTACTGTTAAATGGATCTGTATTCGGATGATAGAATAACGCTTAAACTAGGGAATTCGACAGTGTCTCTTTTACGTCGTGGCCTTTTGAACTTTACGAGATATGGTCGAATGAATGCAGGTCAAATTCGGCTGCTCACTGATCCGTCACGTTTGTGTCGGTTTCTCTGTACTACAAAGTAACCGAACACTTCACTTTGAACCGCAACCATTGGCGCGCGGGCGTGGTTTGGATGACGTTTTTCAGCAACAAGCAAGTGTGCATGTGGGATGGAGGGTACAAGTCGTCTCGTCACGAACCTGCTTCCGATGCGACCATGGGCTATAGCGGCGCGACTGCCGCTGTCCTTCACGACACGTACGGCTGGCTAGTCATCATCCATTATTTTCGCAATCGACGAGATTGAACGTGCGTTTTGCGCTAGGACGTTGGTAGTGGGCGGACGAGACCAGTTGGGGGAAACCCTACACGAAAAGTCGCTAGTCATTTTGTTTGGGTTGAAGCAAGAGCGCATTTTGAACGACTACGACGTGATGGGGACCATCTCTCGACGAATTGGTTGGTCACGTGTTCGAATCTCCTTGTGCATTCTCCTTAACAACCCCCCCCCCGATGATGTGCGTAGGCCACGCAGTAGGGGCGTTGCCGTCGAATGCTGCGTGGTTTGTCTTTGGGGGGGAACTGTTAGCGGACCTAGACGGCGGGGGTGGACTGTTCCAGCCTTTGGGGGACCTACATCGAGTCACCTATGCCAACCACGTTGTTCGAATCGAACGAGTACGTTGATACACTTCGTTGAGTCGATGGTCGTCCCTTCGTTTTCAAGCGTTGGTCGGTAGATGCAACTCAAGGAAGGACCCACAGCGCGATCGTGGCACACGCTGACCACGATCCGCTACCGGCCCCCACCCGACGCCCCCCAAGCCCTCAAGGGCAAACAAACCACTCAACCAACCATTCAAGTGTCCGAACTGGATGATGCGCTGCTTCTCCTCGGCGGAAAAGACGGTGGCAAAGACGTGTGGGTGTTCCATTACGACAAACTTCCCCAGCCTGATGACGGAGACACAACGAGTGACGTGGAGCCCACCCGTGCCCCCAAGTGGTCCAAATTGCAGGTTCAATCGTTGCTTAGGTCGTTGCTTGCTAACACCTTTCACAGACGGACGGGGCATCGCCATTACCACTGGCATACCACACCTGCCACGCCCTTGGCGAAGGCACCAAAGTGGTCGTGGTCGGCGGCGTGCACCTCGGGGAGTTCGTGGACACCGTGTCTATCTTGGACGTGCTTACCGGTATGTGGAGCACACTTGCGCAATCACCGTCGCTGCAACGAAGCTGCCACGTCATGGCCTTGGTGCATGTCCCCACTGGAATCAAATCGAACACTGATGATGGCAAAGCCGCACCAGATGACCATCGTATTTCGTTGCTCTTTCCACGTTGCCCAGTACTGGTATGTGTCTTCACCTCACAGTACATGTACAGTACATACGTCGAGTTTGATGGTCAACATCGCCTTGTTAACGAAGTTAACGCTGAAATTTAGCCAGGCCCTGCATCGAACAACAACGAGAGTACGCCTCCTTCGGCCTTCAGGCACGGCCTGGACTGCTTTTTGATCTTTGGTGGAATCACCCCCGACGCCATCGCCCCTCTGGATGGTTTTGTCGTGATCGATCCGATCGGCGGGACCGTGGCCCAAGTCGACGATGGGCACTTGGGTATCCCAAGGTACTGTACATCAATCCCAAAAACTGATAGCCCCCCCACGATCTCGACTCCAAAGTCATGCCCCCCTCCTGTATTCCGTATCTAGCCACATGGGCCACGCGATTGCCACGTCATCCGACCGACGCAAACTGTTTGTGTTTGGGGGGACCCATGCGTCCACTCACGCGTGGCTTGACACGATGTCGTGCGTGGATTTTTGGACGTACCAGCACGACCCCCTCCCCCCGCCCCCCCTGGAACGCATCCGCACTGTCGAATACCCCAATGGGGATGTTTACTTGGGCGAACTCGATGCCGCCAACCTTCGCCATGGGCTCGGGCGGTGCGATTATGCTACGGGGGATGTCTACGAAGGCCATTGGGTGGAGGATGCGTGGGCTGGTGATGGCCGGTGGGAGTCGACTGGTGGGGATATGTATGTGGGTAGCTTTCAAGGCAACGAACGGCATGGAAGGGGGCTTTGGACGTGCAGTCCTAAAGCGATGAACGTGTCTACTATTACTCCTACTCCTCGTCTCATCGAGGTACGGGACTACGACGTAGTAGTACTAGTACTACTGTAGTAGGGATTGAAGAATGTTGATCTATGCAAACCACAAATACAACACGGGTTGGATTAGGGTACGGAAAGAATGTTGGTCAAACATCCCATGTAGATCTCATACGACGGGCCTTGGGAGCGCGGCCTTCGGCATGGTAGTGACGGCGTCGTGACGTACTCGAACGACGCCAAGTTGAAAGGCGCATGGGTGGACAATGTCTTGCAATCGTCGACGATTGTGATCGAGTCGTATGTGGATCGCGACGGAAAGATCGTCGGCCTGTACGAAGGAGCGGTTGACGACAGCGCGTTGCATGCGCCGCATGGTCCAGGTCGTTTTGAATCCCAGGGGTACCCCAAAGCTGGTGAAATGTTCTCTGGTAGCTGGATGCACGGCAAACGAGATGGGTACGTGCTTCATGGGGATGAAGGACTGCATCACAAGACGATCCTGTAGGCAAGGCATGTGCATGGCATTCGACGGGACTGTGTACATGGGGGAGTGGAAGAACGGGAAGCGCAATGGCATTGGCACGTGTGACTATGCCAAGACACGCGATCGATATGAAGGCAAATGGGTGGGGGACGTGCGCTGTGGCCTTGGTACGTTCGTTATTGTTTGCTCGACACGGAATGCTCCAGTTGTCATGACGAACGTGGACAGGAACATGCACCTATGCGGCGGGGTTTGTATACGAAGGGCAGTGGGCGCTTGACAAACGCCATGGGACTGGCAGATGCACCTACAAGGATGGGACGTTCTACGAAGGCCAGTGGGAGAACGACGAGTTCTGCGGCGATGGCGCGTTGATCTTGCCGTCCACTTGACCTGACTGTCCCAAATCCAGTGCCTAAACACGCACAACCGTCGGGGCATGTTTTGTCAATTATTCCTGTATTTGAATTTAATACAAAAATTAAGATTAGCTCCTTGATTTTAATTGAAATTGACTGGTTTTGTCAATTTCGATTGCATTTTGCTGTGGACGAGATGTCGAACACGCCGCCGCTGCCACCATGTCCAGTTGCTATAGTTGACGACGACTTGGGATACGATGGTGACGACGTCCCTTCGTCCAGGCAGTATGGAGAGAGTCCACCACCTCCTCCACCTCCATCGGAAACCCCGCCGCCGCCGCCCGCGCTGTCGTTGTCGAACGAAACGATCGATGAATCGTCGCACGATCTAGTCGGTCGAGTCGAAGATCACGACCGTGTACATCGGCTGGCAGTATGTCTCGTGGTTTTCCTACATATAAGCTGACAGAATGATGTTTAGGGAGTGAAACTGGACCTGCTGACGTCGATCTCGTCGTCGCCGCCGCCGCAACCTTTAACTCCAACGCTCACCCCCCCTGCCTCTCGATGGCACTTGGGTCTCATTGAGAATTACACGATCATCGACAAAGTGGGTTCGGGCACGTACGGGTACGCACGCACTTCACAGACCCGCTCGCAGCATCCGTCTCCAGTTCATCGTACAACTGGCATGTTGAATGGTATTGCTTCATGGGATATAGGGAAGTGTACAAATGCCAGCACAAGATCACAAAGGACATCGTCGCGCTCAAGAAGCTCCGCCAAGACGTGGAAAAGAACGGGGTAAGTCCACGACGTTGCCGCATTTCTCCATGTCGACTTGTACCGACTTTAATTTCTCCATGTTCATATACCATCACCACCATGTACACATTCGTATCCTCCCTTGGCAATTCTGCATACGATCCGCGACTTGTATCTCCATACCACACCGTGATATATCCATCTTCATATGACCAGCTTTGTCGATTACCGTGGTTCTTTTGTCCATTCGGATATGACAAAATCCTTGGCTTCCATAGTTTCCCGTCACATCGATCCGTGAAATGAAAATCCTCAAACAACTCAAGCACCCCAACATTGTCGAACTCAAAGAAATCGTGTCCAAGCCAGGTATGCTTTTTCTCTTGCCGTATCTTCTATCTCGATTCTCCACCGCTACTACATACTGTCCACAAATATAGGACCTGTCTGTCGAATCTACTGTCCTTTATTACCTACCTACGTACCTACGTGTAGTAGCTATTCGAATTCGAAATAGCAGGGATATTGTACTTTTGAGTGAAATTTCATTGTTTTGTTGAGTCGTTGGAATTTAAATCGATTTGATTGGCTACTTCAGATGAGCTCAAAAGTATTAACCAATCAAAAATCATTATTCAATGAAATTCAACCAATCAGATCGATTGTGGATCGGTTTCGTCGGCGCGATTCGATTGCACCCCCTCCCCAAATGTGTATATCAAATCGACAATATCAAAATCCATATATTGTGCAGTCGCTAGAAACGAACTTTTACATTTCGCGTGGTTGGTCGAATCAATATGGAATCAAGCGTGAGTTGTTGTGATTGGTTGAATGGATTTGTCGTTTCTATAAGAGCCAATCAAATATATCGATTCGAAATTATATTAGCCAATAGCGTCGATTGTGGTTGTGATTCGATTCAGCACCGAGATCATAGACGATAGGGTCTGGAAATGTGTACCGAATCCACAAAAGATAACATTATATTTTTGCATTTCCTCTTTTTTATTTTATTTTTTAAATTCATTATAATATATACTTCTAAAAAACCATGGTACTGTTTTAGAAATTGTTTGGACAATAACTCCAGCTATTATTTTAATTATAATTGCAATTCCTTCTTTTTCTTTATTAATTATCCACTTCACGTACAGGGTATGATGAACGTTGTAGACCTGCCCAAGGATGGGAAGAAGCCGCCGCTGTACTTTGCGTTCGAGTACATGGAGCACGACCTATCTGGCTTGCTCACCCACGAGAAGGTGCCCAAGTTCTCGCGCACGCAGATTCAGTGCTATATGCGACAGCTTTTGTACGGTATCGCATTCATGCACGGCCAGAAGATCATGCATCGAGACATCAAAGCATCCAATCTGCTCCTTAACAACGCTGGCATGCTCAAAATTGCCGACTTTGGCCTCAGTCGGTTCTGGACCGAAGCGAATGCCCGCAGCGGCCGGTACACGAACAAGGTGGTCACGCTGTGGTACCGCCCGCCCGAGCTGCTGATGGGGTGCACGGCGTACGACTACTCGATTGACATGTGGTCGGTGGGATGTATTTTCGCCGAATTATTGCTTGGCAAAGCCCCACTGCAAGGTCGCAACGAGTTGGAGCAGGTATGTATACAATTCGATATGAATTTACTGTCCTTTTACCCAAAATTTCATTATTTTTGGCCTTTTGGGTGCCGATGCCGCCCAATCGATCGATCGATTGTGTTTATACTGACTTTTGCATGTAAAAAGTGGCCAGTGTCACACTAATTGAAGGCACACACTAATATTGGTCAAAGAGTGGATTTGATTGGCTACTGGATCAGTGATCTGGGTTTTGATTGGTCGAGCATCAATGGCCTGCTGATTTTTGGTTATTCTGCTCATTCGATTATATTACATCTTGTGTCGTTGTTGCAGCCAATGTACTTGGATTTGATTGTGCTGATCCGCCAAATATCCGATGGATATTGCACTGTTATAATTGGCTGGAAAACCCTGCACACACTATTTTTGTATTGGGCTTACACTGTTGTTGAATAGTGGTTTCACGGGTCTGATTGGCCAATTGAATAGTGGTGTGGGTTTTGATTGGTCGATCGATCGTTTGCTGAGTTGGTGCTCCAATTTCCAAGCGCATTGACGATGCATGTATGTATAAATCATATTCTAATTGAAAGTTCTGTGTATATAGTTAGTTGTTGTGTAAGAGAGATGTTGGAAGGGGTATTTTATGGTACACTGTGTCTCTACGATATGAATAACTGCAAGAAGGATGCCAATATATATATATATATATACATATATATATATGAATAACTGCAAGAAGGATGCCAATATATATATATATACATATATATATGAATAACTGCAAGAAGGATGCCAATATATATACATATATATATTGGCATCCTTCTTGCAGTTATTCATATCGTAGAGACACAGTGTACCATAAAAAATATATATATGTATATATATATATATTTGTCACCTGCCGTTTTACATTCTACCGACGGCCTGCCAACTACATGCAAGTTATTGTGTTTGCCATGTCAACACGGCAACTCGTTTGTGTCAACATGCAATGGTGGTGGGGTATAAATGGACTTACATGTGCATTTCACCTCAATTTGGACTTTTGAGTCATGTCGCCAAATATAGTAATAGTATTCGAACCCATATAAGTTTGTACAAATACTACTATACAAAAATTAGTATAGATCAGATTTTACCAACGCAGAGGGAGCTAGGCTTATTTTTTCTATTTTTGTATATTATTATCCACGTTTATTTAATTGGCAAAATATTTTTCGACAGAACGTGAGTTGATATTAGCTTTGGCGGTTCTTTCATGTCCATTCTCTATTTGAAATTCGATTCTCCAGTTTCGATATGACAATATATATAAATGAGTTGTAATGTGTATTTCAATCGATTGATTGGGTAGTTGCAATGCATCTATGGGCTCGTGGGCGTGCCGACGGTGGACAACTGGCCATCGTACGAGAAGTTGCCAAACGCGAACGTGTTTACCCCCGATGCCAAGCACGTGTGTCTCTTGGCTGAACGCTTCAAAGAGTACGTATATATATATATATATAGATATTTATATTAAATCCAGAAATAGATCTATGGTTGCTCTAACATGTGTGTCTTTATATAAGTTGATCGATCCATGAATGAATTGAATGTATGAAAATGGGTATATTCAGTTTTCTTAAAACATTTCACCCAAATTTGGTCGTTGTGTGAGTCAGCCACATTCAGATCCATGTGATCATCTAATTTCAACTTGTTACAAACTATTCTATACTAATATTAGTGTATATATCTGGTTTTGCCCAATGTGGCCGAGTCAAACGTTTGGATTGGCAGAATATATTCGACAGAACGTGATTTGATTGGCTTAGGCGGTTAGTCTTGAATCCATTCTGTTGAGGGCTCCAGTTTCGAATACTCACACGAACAAGTAGTGTATCTGTACATATGTAGTTTTCACCGCTATGCGATATATATATATATGTGATTTGTTACCGTAGGTTTCCTACCACGACAGTCGACTTGCTGAGCAAAATGCTGACGCTGGACCCGTCGCAACGCATCACAGCCCTCGACGCCCTCGACCACGATTACTTTTGGAAAATTCCCACTTGCAAGCCCAAAGAGTAGGGACAAACCTTGGTCGATTGTTCTTTTAGTTGGTTTTTAAACGATAGCCTGCCCAAGTTTCCCGTGGCATCGACGCATGAATACCAGTCCAAGAAGAGACATGCCGCCGCGCCGCCCTCGTCGCAAGCCAACCCCAAGCGCCATCCCCACACCAGCACTTCGAGTGCCCGCACCGACGCGGGTGGTCGGGGTGTTGGCTCTACTAGTAGTACTAGCCACGCCCCTCCACCTCCTAGCCACTCGTTGCATCCTCACCACCACCACCACCACCACGGGGGTAGTGCTAGTAGTAGTAGTACTCTTCGAGACAGCCACCATTACGGCGGAGGCAGACCTGTACCGCGCTACCACGAAGACTCGTCGCGGCGACAACGTCAACGCCGCAGCCAGTCCAGGGAACGGCCCAGTCAGCATTAACGCAATCAATACAAGCCCACGGGGTTGGATCTTGAAGTGGAGTTTATGGCAGTAACGTTATTATGATGTGGGAACAGACAGGCTAAACGAGGGCAACAGATATAAAAAATTGAACACTTTTAGGGCCACATTGGGTGGTTTCCAAAACTGGCACAAATCCAATTTGAGACTGACGTGGTACTGACAGTATCCGTACATTGATGGCGAATAATAAAAGGCAGCAACCATGATGCACATTTCAAAACCGACCCAAATATACAAACCATCCATTTATCTAATATATATTGGCTAGAATAATAAATCTGATCAAATTGAAACTTGTCTTGCTTGAAGAGTTTTAACCCAAATCCAATAATTCCATCTGGGATTTACTCGTTGAAGCGGACCAAAACGCCATATTGCAAAATGGACCTTTTATCTCCATTTTGAAAATGGCATTTTGGTTGATCCCATTTTGCGCGAAAATGGAATATTATTTTTAAAAAGTTACCAGATGGGTGGGCCTAAGGCAATAAGATCGATGGAAATTGCAATCATCACATACATGAGCACTTTCAATCATGGCGCCGTCCAGCTAGAAGATATCATAAAGGGGGTGAAGGTAGACGGAGCCCAATGTTGGACGTAATCCAAGACCAATTTCCTATGGGCCCTGCCCAGTGGGATGCGGTGCACGAGTCGTAAACCACATATGACCAACCGACCATGGTGCGCTACCCCGAGATGTCGAAAGCATTCGCCGCAAGGTCAAGACATTGCGAAGCGTTCGCAAACCAACAGGTGACCCCAAAAATGTCGGAAACACACCACCTTTTCAGAAATAGTGTGACAAATTTTCAAACCACAGCTTTTGTGTGTTTGGCTATCAAATCTGACATACCGGTATATATAAAGTGACATAATATTGTGGTATATTCGGTACAAATTTCCAGACCCCGTCGAATCGAATATCTCGCCGCTCAATCGAATCACGAATCGACACGACGTATATGCAATCAATCAGAACTCCAGCGTGATTCAATACGTATTTATTAGAAAAACCACGCGAGTTTTGGAAGTTTAGTGCGAAATCACAATACGCCGATTTTTTTCTATTTTCTGACAAAAAAAGTTTGAACCGCAACTGTTCAATTTATACCTACGGAGTACTGTATATGTACAATTATTGTCCTTTCGAGCTAAATTTGGTATTTCCAGTAGTAGTAGATTCGACGAAATTGTCGAGCGTCATTTTAATTGAACTAACTATACTCATTGTGACTCCTGTCCGATACAACGTTGAACTCTGTGTGAAATGGAGAAGCTTGGCAAATGCACCGGATACGCCTGCAATTTGATTAGTCGAAGGTCTTATTCGAAAATTTCATTGGCTACTTTGTTCCGTCGATTACTCCGTCGCCATTTTTAATTACCAATATACTAACATTAGTATCGACCATGGCGTCCATAAGTCACATCAAAATATTTTGAAATTATTTTCTCACCTCCCATTTAAAAAGGGAATTATCTACTAGTATCAGAATACTTCGAAGTATTTTTTGACATAAACATTCTGTGGCATCCCAACTCGGCCTTAAATAAACTAAAACTACACGTAAATAAATGAATCTATAAATACCGTTCGGCGAATAAAACTGCAATGATCTGATTGGTAGATACCAAATAAATTCAATCCATTGATTGGGCAAATCCCTTAAAACGATAAATAACACGGACAACGACGACCGCTACGTGGTCAAGGCGGAGCTGAGGCGGACAATATCCTCGACACTTTGCACCTTGTGGAGCGTCGTGGCGAGGATCGAATGGACGTCGTCGACGGTGGTGGACGTCTCGCTCAATGGAGCAGACGACATGGACGCGAACGTGAGCTTGCATGTGACGTTGGTCCTCTTGAGGAACTTGCAAATGATGCCGAACGGCACTTGGGTCACATCGACGCCGTTGACAGAGAGAAGGCGATCACCCACAGACACGGTCGAAATGCCCAGCGCTTCGCTGTCGCCCGTCAGTCGCTTCACGCGCGCTCCCACGATGACGTTTGCTGGGTCCTCCACTGCTGACTCGAACGACACCCCAAGTCGGTCGCCTGGGTTCCACAAAACGCTGTGCTCGACAGGCTCAGATGCATGATTATGGCGCATCTCGACCTGCAACGCGGCCAACTTCCCCGACAATTCACGCAAATCCGCACCGAGTTCATCCGTGTCTGCACTCAATCGAGACGAGATCGATTTGGGACTGCTCACGGCGCTGTAGTGGGACGAGGACATCGAGGTGTTGCTGCTGCTCGTCTTGAGCTTGTCCACGGATTCCCACGACGAGTTGCGAGGGATACACGACGTACGAATGTCAAGCGACGTCAAGGTCAAGTCCGACACCGAGTGCCGCCGTGTGGATGTGTCCGAGGAGCCCATCATGGACGACGAGCTCATGACCAAGGACACGGATTTCTTGAGCACGTTGATACTGTGGTCGGGGAGTCTATGGCGGTGAGCCATTTCTGCAGGATCGAGACCGTCGCCGCCCTTAATGTTCACACTCGCAGGAAATGCATCCACGAGAGCGTTCAAATGCACGCCTGGCAGCTTGGATGCAATGGCAACATGTAGTGGCAACATACCCGACATGTTCTTGCACTCGCAGGCATCTGGAAAGACGCGCAAGAGAACCTGCAATGTGTCAAGCGGCACAGACTGCTCCGTGCACACCCAGTGCAGAGGAAGCATGCCAAACTCGTCGGGGACCATGATGGAGTGAGGGATATTCTCGGCCATGTCGACCAGTTCGTGCCACTCGCCTTCTTCGGCGCGCTTCACTGCCAGTCTTTCCATTACGGGTTGAATTGTGGAATGATCCAACGTCTAAACGGGTGTGATGGGCAATTGCATGTAAATTCAAGAAACCTTTGACAATTAATATGTTTGATGGGTTCGCCTTTCGCAAACGCGTTTTATCATCAAAAACGTGTCCACGTTCGTTTGACGTGCCTACAGTACAGTGCTTGAGCACGTCAACAAAGCGGAATAGATGCCGCCACCATTGATTGTCTATTGCAAGCCAACAAATCCTCAGTATTTACGGAAGAAGGCCACAGCTATGATCCAAAGATCTACCTTGAGGGGCATCGCATCTCCACCAACACGTTTAACCTAGTCCAACGAATCCACCGAATTTAAAAGCGAATAACCTTTCAAACTGAATGGTCTAGCAGAAGTAGCCAGTTGTGTGGACCTTTTCTATCTAACGTGAGGTTTTACCGCAGAAGTTTGTCCGCTGCATATCCTCCTAGCCATATACTACAATGCGCAGAACGTTTAGAATGGTTGATCAGTTATTCCTTCTTGTCAATGAGCTATTGTCAATGAGCTGTTGTCAATGAAGAAGAAGGAGAACGAATCGCAACTGTTATTGCAATATCACCTGTCAGGAAGGATACATCTCAAACATCCCCGACGTGAAATTTTGAATAGTGAAGTATGATTGGCTAAAAAGCGAAACCACCGATGGCGATGGCGCGATGGGATTGGTTGATAGGCCTTGATGGAATGCGACAAGTTGGTTGATGCACGAAGAACGAGCGCAAGTGTATTTTCAATAGATGCAGTGTATATAATATCCGAGTTTACGATTCAGCTCGTGAATATGCACCTGACTTTCTAGCCATTGCTTCCGGCCAGCTGGTGTAACCAGCCTCTTTCTTTACTGTAGCCGTTGATTCTGTGTCGATCACGCCTTTCGGAGGTTGACCCACAACTACCGGGAACACAATTCTTTCGACACTTCGTTTGGAGCATTTAGGCCGTGAAGGTTGACGGCTCACTTTCCCATTGCACCAACGTCATGTTCAGTAAGAAAGCAATACTACCAGGTAAGGCGAGGGCATTGCACACATAATTTGGACGAACAACCTCATCCTCATACACTGTAGCCTTTGGAATCGAATGAGGCATCATTTGTTATATACTGGTAGAGCCGATACGAAGTACTACTTCTACAACTTCGTATACTACTTCTTCTGATACGAAGTACTACTTCTACAACTTCGTATCGGCTCTATATAACAAATGATGCCTCATTCGATTTCAAAGGCTACAGTGTATGAGGATGAGGTTGTTGTTCGTCCAAATCATGTGTGCATGGTCCTCACCTTATTGCTTTCTTCCTAAACATGACGTTGGTTTTGAAACTACAGTAGTACTACTAGTACTTCGGAAGTACTAGTTTCAAAACCTCGGATAAAACATATCCGGTGGGATATAGTATACCCGTCATTCGACGCCCAGCTTGATGCTTGAAATGTGTACATTAATATTGTCAAGTCGATTCGAAATTGGAGTGGGGGGAGTGTCTCGAGGACGTCGACGGATCGTGTTGGTGTGGTGCAGGGTGCCCAGGTTCGCAATGGACATCTCGTCTACACGACAGTATCTACCTTGCTCAATCGCATGAGCAGCACCAAATCAGCAGACAATCGATCGACCAATCAAAACGCAGAATGCGATTCATTGAAGAACTCCGAGAACTGGACGACTTACTATATATTCCGGAGTACAGTGCAGTTTACTCTTGCCTTCAATATGGACTAACAGTCTATGTACTGTATATGCCGAATTCTACCACACCCATGGACCGCCAGTCATATGACATTATACATTTTACCTTCAATGCGCTAGTCCTCGAAACTTTACGCTTATGATTGGGCGGAGGAATCTCATGATAGAACGTTGAATGGAAGCACATCTCCATTCAATGCCTGCTGGCAACTAACAGTCTGTTGTTGTTAGTGTCCAGGAAGTCTTCGTTCCAAGTGCTTCTTACTACACTACATAGTACAACACAGTACTGTACGACGATCGTACGAACCATAAAAAGTCGAGTTATTCAATTTACTACTACTACTGTACGTATGTAAAACAAGTGTACTTGTACACTACTACAGTAGTAGTGTATACAAGAATCGAACACCGCAGCGAAATTAAGCAAAGCTACGAAGCCGCGCTTCGATCCAATCCACCGACTTGAACTTGAGTTGCTTGGCATGATATTCGCGCCAATAAAACACGGCTATCGCCAACAGCCTATACAATATTCCAAGGTAAATAAATGCATTTCATTTATCCAGACGATAAAGATATGCAGGACCATTTCTTTTCTCAAAAAAAACTCGCAAACGTACCGAAAGCCCCCAATCGACGCCACGAGCACGCCGAACATGGCATCCAGCGACATGTTGAGCATGGAACTGCTCACGAGCATCTGCACTTGCAGGTCGGAGCTGGTGCTGGCCACGATGAGCGACCGCGCCATGAGAGCCGGCGCCATCCCAAAGTAGCTCCAGTACCAGATCGGCGCCATGTCGTCGTAGCCGACACATACGCCTGAGAAGAGGAACCCAACACCGAGCACCATGAAGAGCACACTGTACACGACAGGGGTGCGGTGGGATACGGACGAGGCAAAGCACACGATGCTCTGCCAAGCCAGCGTGCTCAAAATGAAGATCAAGTACAGCGAAAAGATGGATCGTGGCGTGAGTCCGTTCCAGTTGTGCAGCACCAGCGCCACCGTCATGAGCACAATCGAGTTCACGACACCTTCGAACGTCTCAATGAGGAACGCAGCGTACACGTACGGGTAATAGCTCAACGCGTTCGACTTGCGCTCGAGCTACATACATGGAAACTGTTAATCCTACCTATTCCACCTATGACTGGTCGCTCGAACGAGGAGTACCATACCAGGAGGAGGGGGCGTTCGATAAAGTACTCGGGGACGTTCTTCAGATACTCGGTCACGAGACCGTATGCACCTTCATACGTTCGATTCATGAGTACATTTGGTCAAATCGAGTCGAAACTATTAATAGAATCGAATGTCTTAACCGTAAAGAACCGCCTAAGCCAATCAAATCACATTCTCTTGAATTTCTGCCCATCATCCGAACGCTTGATTCACAGTCAGTCCAAACCACGTACTATTAATAGTACTAATTTTTGTAAATTATAGTTTATACAAGTTTAATTAGGAACAATTAGATTCGAAAGGTACAGTATTTGGCAAAATGACTCATGAGTCCAAATTTGAGTGAAATGCACAATATTACAAATATGTACAAGGCACGACGAATGCCATTGGACGTACTGATCGTAAAGAGCAACATTACGTTTTGATACAACAGTCCATATTCCCGAATGATCTGCTTGTCGTTGGGGGTAAACCGAGGGTCTTGCGTGAGTTGGCTTAGTGGCGTCTACGCATGGATATATATATATATAATGTCAAATAAACCACAGGGTTAATGTTTGTACGTACGTAGCTAAACGCAGTCGTAATGACTATCGCCACGGCCACAATCTAGAAGTCATATATGAGTATATACATTTCCCACATAAAAGTATTGAGTCTAATACTGTTGCCCCCAACTCTGCCCCCCCTGACCATACAAAACACAAAACAAACGTCCCATACCTGGCCAATTTTGTACAACAAGTCGATTTTCTTGCCGTAGAGCCGGCTGTACCGGCGTTCGAAACATGTCCACGTTTGCACGTGAATCCACGACTGCTTTGGCACTTTGTACACGCGGCGCTCCGCCGGCACGTCCGAGTAGTGCGCGAGGGACTGCATGAGAGTGGCAAAGTAACTGCTGGCCTTCCAGTGGTTTAAGAACGGCGACGAGTCGGCTACAGTGTGACCAATAATCATATGTACGTCGATAGATCATATCATGGTTGGTGTATGGAAACGTTACTTGTGGTGGCCACTTGGAGCGCCGACAGTTTGGTCGCTTCTTTCTCTGGATCTAACCCGAGGGCGTCGATGATAAAGTCCGCTGGGTTGATGTACGTATCCGGACGAATGGTAAGCGACCCCATCGCCGCCAAATGTGTCTTAGCATCATGTGACGGGCCGCAGTAAATCAAAAACCCGCCCTTGTCCATGAGCACCACCTACAGTACAAACGTATTCAAATAGATATTTCATATATATATATATACTTTGAAGGAAAAGACAACAACATATCAGCATATTATATACGTATCGTGTTGAATGAGCCGACGTGAACATAGTCCCAAACAATAAAACCCCAATGATCACAGCATTTACGACATGTGAAGAACGTGAAATATTGGGTTTTCCAAACAACACATGATTTGGTGGCCATGGAATCAAGTGTATCTATATATATATATTCATTCGTACGTCATGAAACAAGTCGAAGATCTCGGCGCGGGGCTGATGGATTGTGGACACGACCGTCAGGCCTTGCTGGTTGGCAAGCGATGCCAGCATTTGCACAAGCAAAAGGGAAGACGTCGAGTCCAGGCCACTCGTAGGTTCGTCCAGAATTAGCACGGACGGCAGCCGCAGCAGCTCGGTGGCAATCGACAGCCGCCGCTTTTGGCCCCCCGAGAGCCCTTTGAGGCCGCTGAGAAGCCCCCCGATGATCGTGTTGGCCGCGTCGTCGAGTTGCACGACGCGGAGGATGGTCTGGACGCGTTCGATCTTTTCACGGAGGGTCATCGAGTCGGGGAGGCGCAAGTACGCGGAAAAAAGCAAGCTTTCCCGCACCGTCATGGTCTATTAGTATTGATTGTACAGTGTACGTGGTCAAGGTAGATTTGAAAGTGTGTTGGTTGAATCCACACATACTGTATACACAACTAGAGAATAGTTGTTCGCCGATATATACCTCGAAGTATGTATATATACAATATATATTGTCAAATCCATTGGAAACCCTCAGCAGAATCGAATGTCTTAAGAGATTCGATTAAAGAACCGCCTAAGCCAATCAAATCACGTTCTAGTGAATTTCTGCCAATCCAAACGTTTGACTCGACACTGTCCATTGGGCAAAACCATTTATATACTGATATTTGTAAAGAATAGTTTGTACAAGCTTAAATTGGATCAAACGGATTCGAATGCATTTGGCGAAATGACTCCAAATTTCGGTGAAAGGCACAATATATATTGTGTTTATTAAACTGGAGCGACATGGAGAATGAATCAACACAACCAATAAATGTACACAAGAATCGGCAGAATGATTTAGCCAATCAGATAGCAGGAAACTATCATCAACGTGAAATCAGTGTGTGACTTCAATTAGTGTGATATCAAACCCCACATGACACCTTTGTACATACAAAATTCAGTACAAAGAATCGATCGATATAGATTTGGCGATTCAGAAGTCCAAATTTTTGATATATACATTGATATTTATTTGTGCTTTGGCATTACCTCGATAAACGTGTCGGTTTGCTCGACATACCCCTGCGATGACATGAACACGTCGTAGTCTGTCGGCGACGTCAGTTCGTGATTGAGTAAGCGGTAGCCGTAGTAGCTGCCCGTGAACACTCGACCGCTCACGAGGTTTAGCAGAGTGGTTTTCCCCGAACCAGACGGACCCTAATAGTGCACAAAGTTCAGAGAGTTGTTGAAACGATCGAACAAGTAACGTTACCATGATGGCGGTGAGACGGCCAGGCTTGAAGGTCCCCGACGCGTCGTGCATAATCTGCTTTTCTGGTGCGCCTTTCCTACCACCACACTTGCAGAATGAGGTGTACAGTAGCACAGGACGTGCCACGTACAATGATGTTTCTTGGACGAAATACGACAAATACGCAAACGAAATGGTGCACGGGCCCGCGGTGGGCGACTTGTCCATGGCATGATCCATGAGTGTGCCGTGGAACGCTGGCAGCGACTTGGTCTCGGTCGTGGCTACCCAGCAGTGATGAACAAACAGTTGAACGAGGATGAAGGTACCGAGGTGGGCTATTTCCGCGCGCACGTGCAAATGGAACATGTGGCTGCGGTAGAACGCATACAGCGAGCAGAGACAAATGCCAAACACCGTCACGAAACTCACGCCGAGCAGCGCGTTACTGTACTGCGTGTCCACAAGCTCGAGTTCCTTCCGCCGCTGCGCCCCCACGTCCAAGATGAGCTCATGCGCCTTGGTGGTTGTAATGGAGCAGTTGGCAAACGCCAGGGCGTTCGTGAGCTGGTCCATGCCCCGTCGTCACCCTAGCCAAACGAAAGGACACTGCCCCTCCGATCCAAATGTGAACGATCTATCCGGATACAGTAGCGTATCCGGTATTCTGAGAAACCGTTGCAACCTTTCGTGTTTGTGAAACCAATTTGAACAGGTTAGTTCGATTTCGGCAACTTCAGCCGTCGTTTACCACAAACATCCACGTTAAAACAAGCATACAACCGAGTAACGTTAGTTGTATATTGAGACGGCCCTTTTGATACTAGTAGTTGGCACAAACTCTGTCACAGCCTTTATGGCCTCTGAACAACTGGAGGGTGCAATACTGTAGTCGTGGAAAGCACGATATTATATATTGCAAACATGGATAGGTGATATAGAACTGCATAATGTGCATTTCGCCCAAATTTGGACTTGCGAGTTGTGTTAGTCATCGCCAAATGCATTCGAACCCATTTGATCCAATAAGACTGTACAAACTATAATAGGGAGATTTCGCAAAGTAATCCGTTTCTGAAATAATTACCCTCAGTATTTACAGTTTGTACAATCACGGAAACTCATGAAGCTCTATAGCGGAATCCGTGAAATGAGCAGCTAACGTTATCACGAAATCGGCACAGGCCAACCACGAGCGACCATTTCTCCAACATCTAGTCATGAAGTCTTGGGGGGTGCTCGCGTGCAACTTGCTTAAAGTTCCTGGCTTCTCTTGCCATGAACTCGAAGTTGACGGCAAGAAAACATCGCACAGGTTCCACCTGATCCTCGACAACCACGAAAAGTTCCATAAGGATTCTGTGTATTTGTATGGTGTTGACCGACGGTAGGAATGTGCGAGCAGAAGTCTGCGATGACGGGCAGGCTTCGCGAAGCGAGAACGCTTGACAACCATGACAAGTACGGCATTATTGCATAGCTGATTCCTTATGTTTATTCCGGACGCGGAAATCTATTTATACAGCGAAATCGTCTAACTGTAAATTTACAGTGGGCGGATCCATCGAGGGGTCCTGGACTTGTAACGTCCGATATACTTGTCCAAATTGATCCGGGAAAAGTGTGTTGAAATTGTACTCTCAGAACGCATAAACTGTGAAAACCGTATTTACTGTCTCAAAACTGTCGCTCAGTAAGCAAAGAAAAACTATGCCATATGGAAGGTGTAAAAACTTGTTGTATTTATAACCTGCTATTCTTTATAAATACAAGTAGATAGTGATACAATTTCAACTACAAAGAAAATTGCAAAACATTATCAGTTCCGGATAATATCCGGTAGGACCCCTCGATAGCTCCGCCCACTGTTAATCAGTGTCCGTGGTTGTGTCTGTGTTATTTTTCTCATGGACGCGAGCACGGATTGAATTGCGAATTCTCCCTATTTTACAAAGATTCGTATATATTATATATATATATACTAGTATGGTTTTGCCCAATGCGGAATCAAGTCAAACGTTTGGATTGGCTGAAATATTCCAGAACGTGATTTGATTGGCTTAGGAGGTTCTTTCATCCATTCTCTTACTGTTGAGACATTAGATTCTGCAGGTTAAAGCAGGTGAGATTTCGTTCCATGATAACTGCCCCAATTTCAATTCAGCAACGTGTATTAGATGCGTTGTTAACATAACTTAGATGTCATTCAAGTCGCAACGTTTCAACTTTACTGTTAACAATTACTAGTAGCATCGAAGAGTCGACTTGAAAAATCTCGGTGACATTTTTTGTGAATGAACGTTATCTATGGACCAATCTTTATTATTACTCCGGAGTACTTTTTGAAGGAAGGATTTGTCCTTGATTAAAATCCTTTTTAGGACTTCTTTGTGAAATGGTATACCGTCCGCACGATCCACATTCCCACCACCGCGTCGCTGTGGCTGCAAGCTGACTTGTGCCCTTCCGTCGAAGGTAACCAATCCCCCCATTTATTCACGTGTCCCTCTTTCAAACCAATATATATTCACGTGCGTTCCTTCTAGGTGTGCGTGCCCAAGTGCAAAAAGTCCTGTGCCCCCCCCGCGCGTATCCCCATCCAAGAATTCGCTGAAGAGTCACGTTCCAATGGACTCCCCCGTCCCCTATTGAACTTAAGCCCAAGACCACGTACTCCTTCACGGTGTTCTCGAACGGCGAAACCATTAACGAGTCCCCCATCTGGTTGAACGGCGCCAATGAGTTCACGACCAAGAACGACCCCAACGCTGACGTACAGCTCTCGTACACTTACTATCCAGGCAGCGACTGGTCACTGCGACACTTGCGGGATGGCCGCGTAGTGCCGTCGCTCCAAATGTATACTAGCTAAACTAGTTGGATGTGGGGTGGTGAGTGGTGACGTCAACTTTGAGCTGCTTGGTGTGGGTACTACGTAGAAGGCTGGACTTATGTTTGGACTTATTGAGACCCATAAAACCAAGAGGTGGGAGTATAAGTCCAAAATTGGTCCTATCTAAAGGTTATCCGCATAAAAATCAGACCTTTAAGTCTGACGAGTGGAGATGTTCGAACTACTCCGAAATGCAATAATCTAGTTTTTCAATTGATGTTCTAACTACTCCGAAATGCAATAATCTAGTTTTGAATTGTATTAATATACATACTGCATTGTATTTCGTGCACTCAGCGCCAGCTAACTGCAAAAGTGGGTGCCCCGCAGACAAATTTTATCGGTGATGGCCGACACCCATTTCTTGCTGCGGCCGAACTGCACCTCCATGGCCGTGCCGATGTCGTCATGGAGGGAGGTCGGGTTGAATCGAATGGCTCCAGGAAGCGGTGCGGGTTCCTTGGTGGATGGGACAGCCGCGCGGATGCCGGTGATGGGCAGCAGCTTCCACTCGGTGGTTGGGGTGATCGTTAGGCTCGACGCGACTTCGACTTCCTGGGAAAGCTTGAGCGTGGACCGCCACGACGGCACGTTCGTGTGCAACTTTTGGATATACGGCGACGTTCGCGCGAAACTCGAGTTGAACGTTTTAGCCCAGCCCATAAAGTGCAATGTCACGCTGTCGGCATCGCACTCGACCACTTTGCACTCAAACCTACGACGACAAAAAAGGGTGATCTGCGATACAGGTCAAATACCACGGGCCAAACCTACCACTTTTTATTCAACGCCATGCGACCGTCCACGTAATCCCCGACCTGCAGCACTTGGCGCCACATACTCGTGCTGGCACGGAGCTCGCTGACCTGCACATACCCGCCGTCCATCGAGTCCAATTCGTACGTGACGCCTTTTTTGAGATGCACGTCGACGTCGCATCGAATGAAGCTGCGGACTACTTCGTCCCCACCCCAACTCAATCGTGTCGTTCCAAAGGTCATGCTCTTGGCCTTCTTTGCTGGCCTTTGTGCACTGTTATCGTTGTGCTGGAAAGGGTTGGTCATAATGGAAGACGTCGCAGATGGAACCACGGCTCCTGGTGGTTGTGGTGTCGTCGCCGAGGCTGCAGCCGCCTTTCGTTGCTCCTTTTTTGCACTCTTTGAGAGCTTCTTGGTCGCGCCGTCGCCGGAAGCAGCTGTCTTTTGCTTCTTTTTCTTCTTTGCTTTCTTTGACTTGGTAGCCATCGCAGCGTTTCGGAGCAGCTTTCTCTCCTTCTTGGACAGGGTCGGAGTCGTCGCCGCCACCATCGCTTTGTGGTCCACCGTCGGCGCCGCTTTTACATTGGCGGCGGCTTCCATCTCTTCCCGTTTGCGTTTTGGATGCGCTGTCGTCGGTAGTCTCAAGATCGGAGCATCCTGCCTTGCTTCCAACTTGACTTCCGCCATGCCGCCTTTCGTGATTTCAACCAATTGACCACTTATCCGACCGAATATATCCGGATAAACGGTTCTTTCGTCATCTATTTTCTGTCGGGTAAACTATGGATTATCTATTTTGCCCGGAGCGCTAACGTTATTTTGAATATTCGCTCAATTTAAATGGGAAGCTGGAAGTAGTAGTACTACAGCCTACTATTAATAGTACTTACTATTAATACGTATTATTAATAATATTAATAGTACTACGTACTACTAGTAGTAGTTTAGTAGGATCAGGATGTTGACTGTTTGACCAATGAAAACGCGTTCATACGTAAACATCTTTTGGCCGACCAGATTGTCATGTTGATGTGCGTGAAGGTGATAGCATGGGCTTTGACGAGTGTAGCCTACGCGTCCGTGTCCCTAGACGGGTGCCCGTGGCCACCCGACCCACCTGCATCAGACCCTCCTCTGTGTCTGCGCTACTCGAACGGCACGTCGATTGCGGTGAACGGCACGCGCTTTAGTCCGCGCCGCGACGTGTTGTGGAACCTCACTCATCAACACATCTCCGCCGTCAACGAGTTCCCACGGTCCGACAACAACGACACTCTCTACATGTACGTGTGGCATGATTCTTGTGGCGCAACCATCATCCCACACTCAATGTACTGTCGTAGAAACCTAGCACACAACAACATCACTCGCCTTTCCGGACAAGGACCAAGCGCCGCCACGACTAGTTTGTACGTTCGTCAAGCGTACGCACGGCTCACTATGTGCTTTGACCTTGTTAGGAACTTGAGTCACAACCCATTGACCGTCAATTGGTTGCACGCGCCCCTTCCCGTGTCCGAGTTGTACGTTCCACTCACTCCCTAGTGTCCGTGTTGCCCAATGCAACTTATTTGTAGGGATGTCAGCTACACCACCCCCGACGGACTTAGTTGGTTTGCAGACACGGCGTGGGCCCGTTATTTGCCGCAACTGACCAACTTGTAAACCCAAATCGTCATATCATATGGCCTATATATATATATGTTAGAATATTCCGGAGCAATCGACTCGTTCACCTGTCGCTCTCGTCAGCCACGCTGCCCCAAACCGTCAAGCACCTGTAACTGTACACAATCGTTACCATTGTTGACTTACATGTATGTGGTCACTCAATAGGGACCTTCGGGACAACCCAGCGTTGATGGTCACTATCACGGACTGCGATACACTGGCGCGGGTGCAGTCTAGCTGGCTCACACTGCGCTTGGACTCTATGGTTGACGCCAACAAAGCTAGCGTGGGGTGCACGAACGGTACGCTGCAAAGTGTGGCCGACGCATTCGTGTGCTTGGTGGCAACCTGCCACCCAGCGATGGCTTCCAGAGCGCCCTTCCCCGTAGTGACCCCCAAGGCGTCGCCAGGGGTTGTCAAAGGTATACATTCTACTATACGTGCAAAGGTACAATTGTGATATAAGATTGCTACTGGCTTAGACAAGTGGACCGGGCTAGGGCTCGCGCTCGGGATGCTCAACTTGACCGTGTTTGTGTTTGTGGGGGTTGTGATTGTGCGACGACGTTGCCAAGAGCGACAGGAGACTCGTCAGAGAAATACAGTGTGCTCGTCGCCAGGCAACTCGGAGGGGTCGGGGTGGCACCGCCATTAATGAATTCAGCCTCGCCCGTTGTGTGTAGTAGTAGTAATGAGACTAGTATGTCACTACTCGTTAAAATAAAGCAAGTCGATGTCTAGCTGGCGTGTTGAGTAGTATACTGGGAGACTTCCAAAACCGTCGCAAACTTTTTTGAGTCGATGATTTTCATCCGGAATTATAATTCAATTCACCCGTACTTCTTTGCTGAGACGCAAATAGAGTCTCAGCAAAGAAGTACGCAAGGCGACTCAAATTATAACTTACAAAATTTATACCATACTATAAACAAATACAGTACCTTCATTGTGTTTGATGAAGTGGTGTTGCTGGCGCAGGTTGACGGGGACTCGGACGCCGACGATGACCAAGTGCACAGATGGCACTCAAGGAGCGTCATTACTTGACCTCGCCATCTCTCATCGCAAACAAAGGAACCCGTGGACAACCATGTCCGCCGCCCGCGACCGAAGCTCGTTCATCACGTCACGTGATGAACGGTGGCGTACATGCTTGATCCCGACACGTTTGACCTCTTGCTCGCCTTCTTAAGCACTACTCAGTTCACCATCTCAATGGAAGTGGAGGAAGACCACCAAAGATCAACAGTGTCAACGAAGCACTTTCGCTGATGTTGCACTTCTACAGTGCACCATGCGAAGTCAAAACACTGTGTTACTACTTATCAAGCAATTTACTGTTAGTAAATACAGCTAGCATACACTG